GTCGCTCCTCACCGTGAGGCCGCTTCCTAGCTTGCTGCAGGCGAAGGCGATGTCCGGCCTCGTCATCGCGAATTGTAGCGAGCCAACCTTCTGCCGGTACTCCTCTACCTCGCGATCCTTCGCCTCCTCGCCGTCGAATGTCAGCTCGGCGTAGGCGTCGACCAAGACAGACGTCTTCGAGACTCAACCCCCCTGCTCTTCGTCGATGAAACGCTTGCGCCGCTTGTCGGCGCACCCACAGCTTCCTCGCCGGCCTGCCGCGCACGATCTCCAGCCCAAGCTACTTCACGATCGGCAAGATCACGCGCAGCTTGATGGCGGCCACCAGCAGCTCTTTCAGCATCGCGGTGACACCGCTGGTGGCGAACAGGTTGTCGACGTAAACCAGCACCCAGCAGGTCTCTCCATCGTCGCCGACCTTGAAGTAGAGCGTTGTGTCGACCTGGCTCTTCTTCCAGCCAGCGTCCAGTAGCACGCCGTCGAGAGCCCTGTACCAGAGCAGCGGCGACTGCTTCAGCGCGTAGAGTCTCTTCAATAGCTTGCACACCCGGCCGGTCCTGTCGTTGAAGTAGTCCGGTTGGTCGAAGTAGTCCGGTTGGTCGACCTCGGGGAGCAGTGGGACCATCGTCTTTGAGGCGTCCGTCGGCGGGTGTGCGCGCGTCCGCCCCGACGCCGACCATACTTCACCTTCCACACCTCTGGCGACAGCGTCTCGTAGAAGACCACCTCGACCGATGTGACCACCTAGTTGTCGGTTAGGTCTAGCACCTCCCAGCCCTTACGCTCCAGCGACACGCCCACGTGAATCCCCCAGAGTGCCTTCAGCGCCAGCTTCCCATCGCGCTGCTGCTCGGGGACCATGAAGTGCGCCATGCAGCCCCACACTCGTGCCAACATGAGATCGGGCTTCTTCCTGGTCAGCAACTGGTATGGAGTCGTCCCCAGCGGCGTCAATAACCGCTCCAAGCAAATGCGCACCCAGACAGCTTGTCATAGGGCAAGGTGCCACCAGTGGTGGTGCACGGCCATGTGCAGCAGCATCGTCCGCACGGATTCGACGACCGTGCACATCTCCCGCTCAGCCATGCCCTTCTGCTGCGAAGTATAGGGGCACGTCAGGTCATGGACGATGCCCTTTCCGTTGGCGAAGTTTGTGAACTCCTTTTCGAGGAACTCCCCTCCTTGGTCTGAGCGGAGCATGAGCACCGACTTCTTCGTTTGCCGCTCTACCAGCAGCAGCCACTATTGAAACTCACACAGCACATTGCTCTTCTAAGCGTCCGACATCACCCAGACGAACCGGGTGTGGCGATCCTTCAGCAGCAAGAAGTACAAGCTGCCATCCTTGGCAGCAACCCGAAATGGCCCGCACAAGTCAATGTGCACGATAGCCAGTGCCTCCTCGGCGTCCGAGCCTTTGTCGGGGTGCCGCGCCAACTTTCCCCCGGTGCACGAGACACACAGCGGGTCCGCTCCAGTCGACGGCTTGATGTCGATCCCAGTAGAACCTTGAGCTTCGTTGAGCTCTTGATCGTGTCGTTGCTGACGAGCACGAGCCTTGCATGCCACTGGTCGGGGGTCGACTTTGTCACCGAGACGATCGTCACAGAGCCACCACCTAAGTCAACTGTGACCGCGTCGAGCAGGGGCGAAGGTCAGTGCAAAGGACGCGTCCGATGTAGCGTGCTCAACCGAGCACTTCCTCGGTCGCGGCGATGAGCAGCATCTCGTCGCCGTTGCCCTGCAGCTATACTCCACTCTCCTTCAGTTGACCTGCTGGCAGCAGGCTCGCCTGTACTCCCGGAACATAGAGGGCGTCTAGGATGAGGATCCGCTTCCCGGCTTCCCCTTGAAGATCAACGGTTCCGCGACCTCGACAAGCTGCAACGCCCCATTGAATCCACGTACGTGCTTCATACCGTCAATCGGCGCCATGTCGACGAAGACAGCCTTCGTCCCCATCAGGTGGTGGGAGCAACCACTGTCGAGCAGCACTGCCATCGGGTTTGCCTGCACAGCTCCCACCATGGCCTGGAAGTCCTCGCCAGCCTCCGGCGTCAGCGAGACCGTCGGCTCCACCATGCCGACCATTGAGCATGACGCCTCCCCATCGCCTCGGCCCTTGCCGCTAGAGTTGTTGATGTCCTTTGTGGACGACGTCTTCTTAGACATCTGCTTCTCCTTGCATGACTTCTCATCTCGACGGGGGCGACGATTGGTCGACCGACCGCGACCTCCCTTGTTGTCGTCCTCGTCGCTGTCGTCGAAGTTGGGCCACCTGTAGGAGAGATGGTCGGGGTCGTGGTAGATCCAGCACTCCCACTGTCGACCACCACCTCCACGGCCCTTGCCTCGCATCGACCTCTTTTCTTCGACGTCCTTCATTGACCGCCCACCTCCGCTACCACCTTCGCCCGGCTTCCCGCGCTGCTCCTGCTGACGATTCAGCTTCGTCGGTGCAGCGTAACTCGCCTGCAAAAGGAGATCTGTGGGTTGCTCTGCCTCCTGCAGAGCCTGATCTTGGATGACGTAGCTGGTGAGGGAGTCCTCGTTGAGATACTCACGTGTGCCGGGCACCGTCATCATCCTCTTCATGAGGTTGTAGTTGCGCGGCAGGCCCTTGACGACGTGGGTGATATAGCACGTCGTTGAGCATTCGACGCTTGCCATCCGTATCTCAGCCAGGATCCGTTGAGCACGGTTGCAGTAGTCCGTCGCCAACTCCTGCTCGCCCATCCGAAGGTGTGTCATCTGCTCCTCCAGCTATCCGATGTGCAGGTCGTCCTTCGCCTGGTACGTCAACAGGATGAATTGCCATGTTTGGTGACCAGCATCCAATCGCTCTTAACAAGACCTGGGCGCTAGCTGCACCACCAGCGAGCAGCACCTCGAGATGATCATGAAGGTGAGCAAGTGAGCAGCACAAAACTCCCCACGCAGCTCGACATCGGCCTCTGGCCGAATTGGCACGGTGCCGTCGGCGAAGTCCTTCAGCCCGGCGACCTCCGGCTGTGGTTTTATCGACTCCCTCCAAGTGATGAGGTCCCGTTGACCTTGCAACGGTGTGGCGGTGATCCCGCCCGCCATCACGTGCGTCATTGTCGAGAGCCCTCCACCGCTTCGTAGAGGAGAGCGACCTCGACCATCGACTTCAACCCGCGAGCTGCCTGCCGCTGCCGTCGGCCGCTGCACTCGCGCCTGACTCCCGTCGACGCCACCGTCGGTCTAAATCACCCCTCTCTTCTTCGTGCCATCACTGCCGCTGACTCGTGCACCACTGTCGACCTCATCGTCGACGCCACCTCCGTTTCGTACCGGTCGAAGATGCAGGACATCGACGTTACCTTCGTTTTGTTCTGTCGCCCGCTCCGCCCGGATGCCAAACTCGACGATTGCCAAGAGGACCTTCCCGTACTCACCATTCTCAATGCGTTTCCACGCATCAGCCAAACGTGCCTCCAAGGTGTCCGCTACGCCTGCTTCTACAGCGGGGTCGACCATGGCGACTAACGCGGCTGCCGGCCTACGAACGACTTAGTAGGTGCAAAAGTCGGCTCCCATCAGAAGGTAATATGTGGGGCCATCCACACTCACCGCATCATGCAGAGAGTCACTCTACAATAGTCGTGAGCTAGACTTCGCAGTGTTGGCACGAACTCTAGGAGTGATTGTAGCTTTGCATAGTTCCTTAGCACTTGCACATTCACGGAAGAAATCGGCAAGAGTTTTCACGACGCAATTAATGCATTATAGAATGATCGCAATGACAATGTCAGAAATGACTACATCAAGCACCTAGCAACTCTGCAGCACTGCATGGTCGTCCGCCTGCCAGCGATGCGTAGAGGAACTGCGCTAGCACTTCAGAAAGGCGACCTGTCAACGTAGCAGGTCAACGGCGTGCCAACGCTACAGTAAAGCGGATATCCAGTGTTGCAACCATAGAAGACAGCAGTGCGTACGTATGCAGGTGCGCCCATACGATTGGCTTGACTTGCATCGTTGTGCATCCGTCAGTTGTTGTCTGCGTATGACGAGCCACATCGGCTTCGGGATACCAGCCCGAAGTCGCCTTCGTCACTGCGACCTCGACGATGTTCGCGTGCCTCCACGGAACCTCGTCATCCAGGTGACTTGGTCGACACGGATACCACCAGGTCGGCGTCGACTTCCTCAGGGAAAGTTGACAGAAAGTTGTACATGCTCGTCGACCACCCAGTGCTCCGGTCGACGATTCCCTAGTCGACCACAGCTCCCGTTGAGCACAAACGGGATAAGGAGGCTGCTGAGGGAGGCAGGGGAAGGGGTGGAATAACGCTCAACAATAGCATCATAACATCGCTTCGCTGACTCCACCTGGGAGAAGTGAATGGCCTCAGTCGGTAGGAGAAGGTCTGTCAGTGCGAGAGCAGCCGCAGCGTCACGGGAGTCCCAAACGTCCCGCGCCAAGAAGAGCCTGTCGTAGTCCGCCCAGGGCTAATTTTCGATTTCAAGCAACCCTTATTATCAATCCTGCACCTTTGCGAAACCCTAATTATCAGGGTGACCCCTTAGGAAAATTCTTTTCCATCAGGGTTTTCTATAGTTAAAAAAAAAAAAAAAAAAAAAAAAAAAAAAAACCCTAAGGCCATTGTGTTAAAAAATTCAGAACCTTGATAAAGTGTTTCTACTCAAGTTCTTAACAAAAAAGATGGAAAATCCTTCCGAAAAATATACTGACTAGGCCACATTAACGTGGGTGTTAGAATAACCTACTTTTTAGTTGATAGTTCTAATTAGGCGGGCAGAGGTGCGGGAGCGAGTTGGGGGCGGGGTGGAAGGGGGGGGGGAGGGGCATGTGGTATTCGTTTCAGGGTGGAACTCGCTACAAAGAACGATAACCCTGGGGCGACAATATGCCTTAAACGTAAACCCTGGCATATCAGGAAAATTTAAGCTCCATAAAAAATTACCCTAAGCCATTAGTGTGACTACCAAAAAACACCCTGATTATCAGTGTATCAGGGTGATTTACACTGATAAAATAATCCTGAGTCTGCCTGCGCGTCGGCAGTGGGAGCGGGCTCAATAGGTAGGGGGTCAGGATATTGGGGGGCCGGCTCGGGGCCGGCTGACGGGGCGACCGGCGCGCTGCTAGCCGCAGGGGGTTTGCGGGGAATCGACGTGGTCCCCGCCACTCCGCCAGACGTTCCCTTGACGGTTTTGGCGCCGCCATCTATCGCCGTTGGTGCGGTTGCTAGACTGGCCGGCTTGTCGGCGACCAATGGCGGGGCTGTTGGTCCAGCCTCTTGAGCGGCAACCTGGTCGGCAGGGCCCCCCTCCGCATTCCTGATTCCATCGCCCTTGCTGTGCGTCCTTATCACCTTGGCCCCGTTCTTCTTGAGCTGGTCGGCCACGCTCGTACCTCCGCTCCCATCGGCTCCCTTGCTCCGCGAGCCGCCTGGACCCACCTAGCCGACGCCGCGGCTCCCATCGGCTCCCTTGCTCCGCTTCGAGCTCAACGCATCATCTCCGCCGCCCGCCCTTTTCGCACCTTCTTATCGCCCTCGTTGGCCGACGAGACGACCCAAGCCGACCAGGCGCCAGATTGCCGATCACCTCAGTCATGAGGTTTAACCCGGACGCAACAAATGACTGCTGGGTGGCCTCAGTCACCGCCTTCAATACGTCCGCCTTGAAAGACTTCATGAGCTCGTCCGGGAAGGCTGGCGGTGGGGCGGGCGGCGTGGGCGGTGGCACAGCGACGCGTTGAGTTACCACGGCGGCGATGTTGGTCTGCGCGGCGACTAGGTGCTTCGATATGTATTCCTCCAACCCCTTCCTCGCTTCGTCCACGTGGTTGCCCATGGCGACGACCGCGTTCGCACGTTGCACCGCCATAAACCCCTCCGGATCCTCTAGATCGTCCAACCAGCACTCCGCCCTCTCAGCGTACGCCTTCATCGCATCCCATGCTTCACCCATGTTGGCGGTGATGTTCTCCGTGACGGTCGTCACCATGGTCAAGGACGCGTCCATTAGCCGACTCGCCGCAACCTGGTCGGAGGCGGCGACCTGGTCGGCCAACGACCTGAGCTTGTCCACGAGGCGGCCAATCCCCATCGCAAACCTGTCCACCCGACCCCTCTCCACTCCGAGCGCCGTCTCGAGACGAGCATTTTCAGCCCTCAGCCACCTGTTCTCCTGTCGCAGCTGCGCGACGACGGCCGGCGTTGCCTGCCGACCAGCTGCTAAGGAACCCGGTTGACGGCCCGCCTCTACCGCTCCACCCCGGCGTTCCACCCCTGCGTTCCCTTTGGTGGTCTCCATGTCCGTCGGCGTCGGGGCCGCGGCGTTATCCTCCTCCTTCGCGTCGCCAACCACATTGCCGACCACGTGCGCCTCCTCCACGACGACATTCTCCACATTGGCACCCTCCCCTCCCTCGTACACAACATCCGCCGACCTCCCACCCGTTCCCTCCACGGCCGCCGCCGCTCCCTCCATGGCCACCGCCGCCGCTCCCTCAACATCCTCCATCTCGAATTCGACCCAGGGGAACTCTACCTCCTCCTCCTCCTCATCCTCCTCCTCCTCCTCCTCCTCCTCCTCCTCCTCCTCCTCCTCCTCCTCCTCCTCCTCCTTTTGCCCATGCCCCTGCTCACGCTCCTCACGATCCTCCTCGTTATCATCCTGATCATCGGTGTCATCCTCCTCCTCCTCCTCTTCCTGATCCGCGGTCCTCGCCACAGCCCTTTCTGCCTCCTCATCTGCCTTGTCAACGCCGTCTCCGGCTTCTCCGCTGGTGTCCGCAACACCGACTGCTTGGGATGCCGAAGGGGGCTCCGCGGCGTCGTCGTCACAGGCGTCGGCAGCAACTCCGACATGGCCTGACCGTTTGCATGCGACGTGCTCCTTGATGAATGTGATCATCCGAATCCGCAGCTCCTTCAACCCCGAAACGAGGACCTTGTCCATGCTGGTCGCACTGCGACGGTCGTCGCCGGTCAGGCGATCCATCCTCTTTACCACCCAGCACAGCGCACTCATTGATAGGAGGCCAGAGCCCGCGTCGCTGTCCCGGACGGTGTCGCGCACTTTCTGCAAACAACAGACCAGAGAGCAAGGATGAGCACCGTCGGCGGCAATGGCATCGCGCTAGGACGGTAAAACGATCGGTACTCACATCTCAAACGGGTTCATCGCAGTCGACGAGCCTGTCCGCCACCTCTTCAGCAGAAGGCTTCGGCCACTCCCAGTGTCGGCCATCACAGCCGAGCTCGGCCAGCACCGCCGCCCGGAAAAACCTGAAGCAACATGGCACATATCGTCAGTAGACTTGCTTAACGCCCAGCGGCGAAATTGCATGTGTCGTCGACTACACTATCGAGCTCACTTCAGCATGCGGATCGCCTCGTCGCGGTGCCATTGCTTCACGGTTTGCGGGTCAAAGTGCCGGACTGAGGTCCTGATCGTCTCCCCCCCGGCCCGCAACAAGTCGCCGGGGTACAGGATGACCACGACGCTGCAATGTGCTCCTGGAAGCGGTGCGATGCTGCACAGGCTAGGCACCACGACGTCGATCAGAACGGAGCAGCAACATAGGCATCATGGCTCATCATCATGACTTAGGCTCACCTCGAATGCAGGGGGATAACTGCTACGTCGGCGTCAAACACCGTAGCAAAGCATTAGTGGTCTTCCTTGCCCATCGCTGCCCGAATCCGGCCGAGTCCTATCGACCACAATCGCATGTTGGCCGGCGCCGCGCGAATCCATGCATGCCTGCACGTATGCATGGGTAGTAGATGTGTGTGAGGACGTACAAGGCACGACGGATGGACACGTGGGTTCTGGAACCGACAACTGACAGGGATGGCGATAGTACAACGGTGCACCACCGTCGCGACGTTGTAATCAATGGCGCCTACCGATGCGGGCACCGACCTACTGTAGTGATCGGAGTCCGGTGCCGACCTACGGCTGTGTGCGTCACCGAGTAGTGATCTAAACCCTAAACTAGTAGCGCCGACCAAAACGTGGGACAACCCTAACAACGTCGACCTGCAAGGTATCCAGCGGTCAACGCCGACATCCCAATACGGACACTCACTTGAGGCCGAATCCCAAGCAATGGGCGTTGAACTCTAGCCTATGGTCTACGAGGACGGCGTAGTCGTGTTCGTCGAGCTTGGCAGTGAGTCCACTACCCAGGTCAAGATACAGAGGGAAGTCCTGCGAAGTCGGCGTCACTTCGCCGACTTTCGGGGCGGCCGACATGGCGGGGAAGGGAAGCGGCTACAGGCTAAGGGACGTGAATGTGGGAGAAGGCGCAGAGCTGGGGAAAAGGTGGAAAGAGAAACGAGATGCCAAAAATGAGGAGCGATGCCCCCTTCCACCAAGAAAAGAGGGTCGGTGCCCCACAGGAACAGTCGAGGCATCGCCCGGCCCTCGTGGTGCCTGCCTCGGCGGGGTTTGGCGGGCTCGTGCACAAGTGGCACAAGTTCTCATTCGCCGTCGGGCCAGCAAGTCGATGTCACGTCCCGAAGCAAAAAATGTGCGCCGCGAAGCGATCGAAATCGAATTCGCAATGTCCCAAATTCTGCATGTTGCCCGATGCGAAGTAGCGGGCGAACACGTGGCGTCACCGCAACGGGTCGCGAAATTGTCAAGTGTCCCGAGGGGGCCGCGAATTTTCGCCTGGCCCTCGCCTGCCCGTCCAGGCAAGCCGCGATGGGTTACTAGGACCTCGCGGGCAGGTGGCACGTGTGGGCTGCCTTCGCGCGAGGGTAATTTTCCCACGCGCGAGCTGTTGCCAGTTCGCCGACCCCACCCAGTAACGTGGGCCGCTGTTCACATTCGGAGCGGGGCTGCGGGGCAGCGGTCGTGCGCTCGGCCCAGCCCTGGGCCAGGCTGGCGGGCCCGCACGCGCGTCAGTGCTCCGCCCCGTCAGCCCAGGCTTTGACGACCCCCCTCAACAACACTGGCAAATCCGTCCTGACGACCGAGTTCCGCTGGGGTGTTCGGGGGGCTGGAGGGCACCGGACGAATGAGCGTACAGTGTGGCACCGTCCTGACGCTGACTGGTGAGGTGGCGCTGAGCTTGGCGGAGCCAGGTACTAAACTCGATGGGGTAGCCCTCCGCATCGTAACGAAGGCAGCAGGAGGACTCCATAGTGGAAACTAGGCTAGGAGCGGCTGAAGTACGGAGTAAACGGAGCTAGGAGCGAGGAGCGAGAATCGCGAGAAGCACCAGGTGGAGATAGGCAAGGTACCGCCGGAGCACGGAGCGAACAAAGCTAGGAGCGAGGAGTGAGAATAGCTACGGGCGCCAGGTGGAACTGGGCGAGGTACTGCCAGAGCACGGAGGAAAACTGGGCTAGGAACGCCAGTCTAGTAACGAACGGAGCTGGGAGCAAGCTAAGCTAGGAGTAGACGGCTGGTGGAGCGAGGAGAGACACCTAGCTAACAACAAACGCCAGCGAAACAGCTAGGTGGACCGAGAGGGAAGAACAAAGCGCCAGCACTATCCTAAACAGCTAGGTGGAACGGCCTCCAGTCGCGACGGTAAGAAGCATTGTGAGGAGGATTGACGTGAGTGTCGAACCAACGAACGGGAGGGATAGTCCGAGAAAACCTAACCAAAAGGTGCGGCTCTGGGCGCCTCGGGTGTCAGAACATTATAGCTTATGCTTTTGTGTAGGCTGTAGTGTGGTAGCCCATATAGGGTACAACCCAATTAGGGTTAGTACATGTACCCAACTCTTTCATAGTGCATTCATTCTCGTTCTAGTTTTCTCATGGTATCGAGCAGGTTCCCTCGTCGGAACTGTTCCTAGGGCCCACCAATTCGGATTTTTTTTCCTGCCCGAGTCGCGCTCAGTTCCTGCCCGAGTCGCGCTCCCCTCTCTTGACCCTCTCGCGCCGCCTTAGCGGCCCCGTCGCGTCGCGCTAGAGGCACCGTCGCGTCGCCCTCGCGGCCCCATCCCGTCGCGCCGCCCTAGCGGCTGCGTCCCGCCGCCCTAGCGGCCCCGATCCGCCGCCCTAACGGCCGCGTCGCCTACTCCTGCGGCCCCGGCACCGCACTTCCCGGCCCTGATCCGCCGCCCTAGCGACTGTCAAATTATAAAATTCTGTAGGCTATAGTGGGGTAGCCCATATGGGGTACACATTTCTAGGGTCGCATACTTGTATCACTTTCATTCCATAGTTCATCTCATTTCTCGTTCTACTTTTCTCATGGTATTGAGCAGGTTCCCCCGTGGGAACTGTGCCTAGGGCCCACCACATCGATTTTTTTTCCTGACCGAAGCGCGCTCGCCCTGAGTCGCGCTCCGGGCCCTCTCTCACTTTGTCGAGCCGCCCTAGAGGCCCCGCCGCCCGTCGATTAGGCCCCGCCACCCTTCATCGCGGCCCCGCCCTTAGTCGCGGCCCTGCCCTTCGTCGCGGCCCCGCCCTTCGTCGCGGCCCCGCCCTTTGTAGCGGCCCCGCCACCCCTCATCGCGGCCCTGCCGCCTCTCTCGACGCAGCCCTGCCGCCCTTTCGTCGAGGCCCCTGCCGCCCTTCATCGCGGCCCCGCCACCCCTCGTCGCGGCCCTGCCGCCCTTTCATCGAGGCCCCTGCCGCCCTTCATCGCGGCCCCGCCACCCCTCGTCGCGGCCCCGCCACCTCTCTCATCGCGGCCCTGCCGCCCTTCGTCGCGGCCCCTGCCGCCCTTCATCGCGGCCCCGCCTCTCTCGACGCGGCCCCGCCGCCTCTCCCATCGCGGCCCTGCCGCCCTTTGTCGCGGCCCCCTGCCGCCCTTCGTCGCGGCCCCTGCCGCCCTACGTCGCGGCCCCGCCGCCTCTCTCAACGCGGCCCCGCCGCCTCTCTCTACGCGGCCCCGCCGCCCTTCTTCGCGGCCTTGCCGCCCTTCGTCGCGGCCCTTGCCGCCCTTCCTCGCGGCCCCTGCCGCCCTTCGTCGCGGCCCCACCACCCGAGCCGCCCGAGCCGCCCGAGCTGCCCGAGCGCCTGAGCCGCTGAAGAGCCGAGCCGCACGAGCCGCCTGTGCCGCTGATTACCCGAGCCGCCCGAGCCGCCTGTGCCGCTGAGTACCCGAGCCGCCCGAGCCGCCCGAGCCGTCTGAGCCGCCCGAGCCGCCCGAGCCGCCCGAGCCGCCCGAGCCGCCCGAGCCGCCCGAGCCGCCCGAGCTGCCTGAGGAGCCGAGCCGCTAGTACTACGGAGCTGCAGTTGCTGCCGAGCCGTCCGAGCAGCAGTGTTGCCGTGTTGCTGTGCTACTGAGCTGCCCGAACCGCCCTGTCTGGTGAGAGCAGCACTTCTGTCACTGCACTGCCCTTGTCCTACAGTTAGTACTGCTAGTCTACTGCTGTCATGGCTACCCCTAGTGTCCTAGCTTTTGACGCTGAGGGTCGCGCCATTGACTTTGAGGTCTGGGTCGACGACCTGCAGCTGTTCTTACAGTGCGATAGGGCAGACGGTCTTTCCCTCTTTGACCTCACCTCTGGCCCCTCTCCTGCCCCTGCTGCTGATGCTGACCCTACTGTTCGCTCTCAGTGGGCCACCCGCGATGCTGCTGCACGTCTTGCTGTGCATCGCCACCTCCCTACCTCTGAGCGTGCGCACTTTAGTCAGTACAAGAGTGCTCAGACCTTGTACGACGCTGTAGTTGCACGCTACTCCTCCCCTGCCACTGCTGCACTGAGCCGTCTCATGCTACCGTACCTCTTCCCTGACCTTGCTGCCTTTCCCACAGTCGCTAACCTCATTACGCACCTCCGCACTAGTGACACTCGCTACCGCGCTGCGCTTCCTGCTGAATTCTGCGCCAAGAACACCCCCCCCATGTACATCACTCTCTACTTCATAGTCACTCGTCTCCCTGACTCCCTCCGTGTAGTCAGGGACCACTTCCTCTCAGTCTGTCCCACACCTCTCACTGTAGACCTCCTCGAGAAATCCCTCCTAGCGGCCGAGAAGAG